TATATAATATACATTATAGTCATATGTAGTGATGCACTAACATATTCTTATTATATAATTATCTTCCTTATATACATAATATGTGACGGAAAAATATTTATTATAATTTAAATTATAGATCTGAAATTCTCCATTGCAAATCATATATTTTTATCTGTATATGCATGTATGAGAATCTGTGCATTTCTATCACTCATTCTAATAGTTTCTCCCCATTGAAGTTCACAAGGTGGAAGGCCATTGCTCCTCATTCACGGTGCATCACACCCAGAGCCTTCAGTGCCTGTCACAGTCCCTGTGAGGACAAAATACTTCCTCAGTATTAATAGCAGCACCCCTCATTTGGGGTTTTCTAATCAGCACTGATGTCAGCGCCGTGTGTACTTGAACTCAAGTCTCCCCTAAACGATTCTACCAGGGCAGCTATTTTACTGCCTATGTTTCACATGAGGAATTTGGGACACAGGAGGTTTGGGTGAGTCACCATCAGGCATGGAGCCGGGGGGGTGGCAGAACCACCGGGATTTGAACCATGAACCCAGCAATCTGGCTACAGGAGGGTCTGTCCTCGTAACCTTTATATGTCACTGCATGAAAGCTGAGAGAGGAGAGAGGGAAGGAGAGGGAGAGAGAGGGAGAGAAAGAGAGGGTAGATATTCCCACAGACAGAAAGCTAATAAAAACCAGACACAGGACTTGAACCGGGTCAGCTGGACTCAGGAGCACGTCCTGCTGTGCCCCGGCAGCCCAGGAGCCTCTGAGGGGGTCCGGATGGAGCACAGCATGGCTCCTCCCACCTCCCCATGTGGCTTCAGCCCCTGGTCCCACCTGCCTGAGCTCACAGCCCGAGCCTCACAGGCCGTCACTGGGTCTAGGTCCGAGGACGACCACTCTGGTGATGAGAACACAGGTGGAGAAGGGTCCGTGGATGTCTTATGACCCCGTGTGTCCTCCCTTGGGAAGTTCCAGTCACAGATCACGGGGGAGATGGACAACTTGAGACCCAGGGACTTGGGGCAGCTTCACTCCCATCACACAGAGTCCAGGGGCAGAGCCAGGGGCAGCTTCTCTCCCATCACAGAGTCCAGGGCAGAGCCAGATGGAAGGGAAGCCTCGTGGCTTCATCCTGGTCACCGTTCACAGGCTACGTCCCCTCCCTGTGGCACCCTCCTCCTCTTACGGGACCTTGCTCCACTGTTCAGGCCTCCCCCGGAGATCACAGAGCCAATAGGAGCATCACCGTCCCTCTTCGGGTGTCCCAGGTTGGAAGGTGAGTTCTAAGTCCCTCCATCAGGTGCAGAGCGGGGTGAATGGTGAGGCAACGCCCACAAGGGGGCAGCGTGGAGCTCGGGAGAACCCGAAAGTCTGGGGTGGGGCTGCCCCGGTAGGTGGCCCCTGCCCCTGCCCCTTCATAGCTTTGTGACTTTAAGCAAGAAACTTTAGTTTATGTTTTGCATATTAGAGAGGAGGAGGAGTTAGACAACCAGACTAGTACCTCCCCCGGAGAGTGGTGCTTGCACTAAGTGTTTTCCACAGTTCCTGGCATGGAACGAGGTTGCAATCACGGTACCATTGTTGCTATGGTCTCTGGGAGCATTAGCCACCTCCCAGAGCCGGGCGGGTGTCAGTTCCTTCCCGTGGCCTCCCTAGACCTTGACTCCAAGCCCAGGGCAGAGGGCTGGACTCGGAGCTGCATCCCCAGCACAGATCCCACTGTAATCCCTTCCGGCTGAGGACCCTGCTACTGACCAGCTGAGGAGTCGGGCTCTGTGACGGGGGAGTCCGTGTCTCCAGAGGTTTCTGTGAACAGAGGCAGGAGAAGGATGTAGAACCCGTCCCAACCAACCTGCCCTCCTCCACCCTGAGACCCCATCCAAAGGCCGCATGGCCATCAGGCAATCCCAGACAATGTCCCGAGACTCCTGAGAAAACAGGGCAGGGGACAGGAGGCTGGAGTGAGTCCCGCTGCTTGCCCCACTCTCCCTGGGACTGGTCACTCCCTCTGCTCCTCCCACCACAAGCTCTGCTTGACCTCAGGGGACCTTTGAGGTCCTGGGGGGACATGAAGGTGGGTTGGAGCCTCTCCAGTGGACTTTGACTCCAGGACATCTCGGGTTGAGCACACACAGGGGTGCGTGTGGTCACATACCAAAGGTTTTCCCAAAGCACTGTCCAGCCCTGACCAGGAGCCATCCTTGGGCCCTGTGCTCTGCCCAATGGGAGATGAACCACACCAGGAGAAGCACATTGCCTGGGGCAGGTTCTGGCTCAGTGGAAAGGAATAACAAGTGAGACCATCCACCCTGTGTGAAAAGACACTCATCCCCTTGTAGGGGGGTCGCCCCCTAATCTCTGGGAACCCACTCCCCACCCAGCCAAGCAGAGCCAGCTCTGAGCCCACCGGATGCTGGGGCTGAGTGTCCAGGCCATCCGTAGTGTCCGGAGGAGACCAGGGCTCCAGGGACCTAAGCAGGTGCGAGGGCAGAGGGCAGGTGTGTGCAGAGGGAGAGGGAGAGAGGAGGGCTTGGGGGTCAGGAGGAGGGCAAGGGTGGCCACAGAGAGAGGGCAGCAGCTGGGACAGCGTCCAGGGACCTGGGGACAAGCTCGAAGGCCGAGCTGAGACTGGGGCAGGGCCCAAGGGACGTCCTCACCTTTCACCACCAGGTCCAGGTAGTCACTGAGCTGAGACCATTCAGTGGACTTCCTATAGAGGCAGCGATAACGTCTGGTATTTCCTTCACTTAGTAAGTCGATGCGGAATCTGGCCTCTGACTCAGATGGACTAGCTTGAGACACATCCTTAGTATCATTGAACTTGCATCTATCCTCCCTCTCCAGGCGGAATGGGTCAACCCCAACCGGGCCCCGGCACACGATAGTCACAGGCCTCCCCAGGGGGATCACGGTGCCTGGCTCAGCCGAGATGGAGGGTCTGGGCAGGGGTCCTAGGAGGGAAGCAGAGAAGGACCTCAGCGTCCACCGTAGGAAGTCACCATGCCACACGTGTCATTTTAGCGTCACACGTCAGGGATTTTAGCAATTTTGTAGAGTTGTGCAGCCACGACCACAGCCCAACCTTAGAACATTGCCAGGCCTCCTGCACCTTCTACGTGCGCGGGAATCCTCATCGGTGCAGAGTTATTTTCCCAGTTGACAATAAGGACCCTGAGACTTGCTCACAACTTGGGCCTTGCTCAGGGTCACGTGGGAAGTGTCGGAGCAGCCTGGGGCCCCTCATGTCTGCCGAGGGCCCAGGGCCACTTTCCAGAGGGACAGAGGGCGGGAGGGGGCACAGGACGGGGATGACAGGGTCATTCGTGAAGGACAAGGGACAGGGGAGCGAGGGCTCTGGAGACGGCTCGTGCTGGGGCCTGAAGGGCACTGGCCGGTCCCCGGGTGAGACTGAGTGTGGGACGGGGGTTGCCAGGCTCCTGTGAGGGTCTGATGGGGTGAGGGTGAAGCCCCCAGCCCTGACCCAGCCCTGATCTGCTCACAGCAGATGCCCAGCCCGTGACAGGTCCCCATTGCTAATGCAGGTCTCTGTGGAGACACCACCTCTGGGTTTTCCTCTATAGTTTCTCCTTTCTCCTCAGCCGAATTTGCATTTCCTTGTTATTAAAGCTCTTGAAAAACCCCATTTATCTCAACTGGGCTTGGGGTGGAGGAGGAAGGGCTGGTTTGACGCCCTGAAACAGGAAGGTTGTGTCAAAATTAGCGAAATCCCTGAGCAGGGCAGAGAGCTGGCAGGGCTTCAATTCGCTCATCCCATCTTCTTTCATTCTTTATTATTGACAGATTAAAACTGCATATATTGAAGGTGTACAACATGATGTGTTGGTACAGATACACACTGTGGAATCGCTGAATCAAGCTAATTCATATAACCTTACTTTGCATAGTTAATTTTTGTGGTGAGAACATTTAAAATCTGCCTCTTAGCGATTTTCAAGCATACGATACATTGTGATTAATCCTTATGTTGCACAATCCTGAACTTACTCTCCCTGTCTAGACGAAATTTTCTATCCTTTGACCTGCATCTCCCCAAACCCACCCATTTGTTCATTTTTCTTTCTTTTAATCATATCTCAGTTACTTATCAATCTGTTTAAAGACGCTTTTCATAGGCTGCTAATTCCACAAATGTGAGAAACACACACAGGGTGCCTGCCCTTTGGAGGTGGACGTCTAGAAGGGAGGACAGATACTGCTCGGAGAATTGTCCAATCTGCAGCTGTGAACTGCGGTTAAGTTTCCTGTGGGTAAGCGCAGGAATCTAGGGGACAGGTGGGCGGTGGAGCTGACCTCCTCTGCAAAGTCCTCAGGGACAGGATGTGGCTGGGAAAATGGGCACGTCCAGACCACAGAGAGGTACACAGGTTTGATTCTATCTGAAGATAAACAGGGGAAGGGCTCTGAGAAAAAAAAATTCATCTTACAATGAGATAGTAAATGAAAATTTTTGAATACAATTTAAAAACGGTGGAAAGTACAATGGTCATGTCTGTGCTTTCGCAAATCACAACGTGCCTGGGGTCAGGAAGGGAGCGGGCAGCAGTGGCATGGACAGACTGAGGCTGGCCTCGGGGAGCCACGGAGGGGAGAGCGGCCACCACTGGGGGGAGACACAGGAAAAGTCAATGAAGAGAGAGGGAAAGATGAGAAAAACTGAGAGTGAAATCACCAGGACTGGGTGACATGATGCATCTAGGAGGATGGAGAAGAGATGGAATGTTCAGAGTCTGCCCTTTGTGACTGTCGCGTTCCCTGCCAAGAAGCTGCTGAGTGAAGTGTGGGCTGGTCTGGGGAAAACTGCCCGGCTCAGCCTTGGCCATGTTGGGTTTGAATTCTCGTTGTAGAAATCGGTGTGTGGAGGTGACGCCTGCACTCCCAGGGTGACCGCAGAGCCACTCACAGCTGCCAAGACCTGGAAGTAACTCGAGTGTCCACTGCCAAATGAATGGATGAGGAAAATGTGGTGTGTCTATGCAATGGAATATTATTCAGCCCTAAAAAAGGAAGGACGTTGTATCATTTGCAACAACATGGATGAACCAGAGGACATTGTGCTAAGTGAAATAAGCCAGGCACAGAAAGACAATTATTACTGCATGATCTCACTTATCTGTGGAATCTAAGAAAAGTTGATCGCACGGAAGTAGAGAGTAGAATGGTGGTTATTGGAGGCTGCAGGGCCTCCAGTAATATGGGAGAGACACTGATCAAATGATAGAGTTTCAGCTAGCCAGGAGGAGTGAGTTTTTCAGATCTGTTGCACAGCAGAACAATAGTTCATAATAATTTATTGTATATTTCAAAAGTACTAAAAGGAGATTTAAAATATTCTCATCACAATAAAATAAGTATGTGATAGGACTGATATGTTAATCAGCTTTATTTAATCTTTCCACCTTGTGTACACACGTCATCATATCACAATGTACCCTTCAAACATATACAATTATTTGTCAATTAAAAATAAAGTTTTTGAAAATAAGAAAGGCAAAATAAGACAGGTGGAGGATGCGAGAGAGAACTGGGTGAGGGTTATGCATTTTACATTTGGAAGAGTTTGCAATCTAGGGTATATTTAAAGGGATCCCTCCAGGCCCTCTAAGCATCAACATCGCTCCCACCCAGAACTGCCCTTGGGGTGCCAGAGGGGACGGGGAAGACGGGACGAAGGTGTGACTCACCCTCCTGCGTGTGGATCGTCTGGGCCAGGCAGAGCACTGCAAGAGAAGCCCCAGTGAGAAAAGTGCCCACCACCCAGTCTCCTTATGGGGCTGCTATCAAAAGGGGGCTGGATGGAGCTGGGGGGCATTCAGCATTTCATCATGACCAAATCAACCCTCCTCGACATCACTATCTCGGTGTAATCCTTCTTGCTGCAAAATGGTTTCAAGATAAATCCCAAAGTCTCCTCTTCCAAAAAGGCTCCCGCTCCCCCAGCCCTCCTTTTTGGTGGTGTTGTTGGAGACGGAGTTTTCTTCTTGTCACCCAGGCTGGAGTGCGGTGGCGCGATCTCGGCTCACTGCAACCTCCACCTCCCAGGTTCAAGCAATTCTCCTGCCTCAGCCTCCCGAGTAGCTGGGATTACAGGCGCCCTCCACCACGCCCGGCTAATTTTTGTATTAGTAGAGATGGGGTTTCACCACGTTGGCCAGGCTGGTCTCAAACTCCTGACCTCATGATCCGCCCGCCTCAGCCTCCCAAAGTGCAAGGATTACAGGCGTGAGTACCGCGCCTGCCCCCCAGCCCTTCTTAAAGCTGACCTCATCCCCACACCCAGGCCCCTGTTTTTAGGACAAGGTCTTTTCTGGTCAGACTTAGGCCCCGGGGAGAGCAGCAGGGCAGTCTTGGGGGAGGAGGACACTTTCCTTCCCAGAATCTTCTGCACTGGAGTCAGGCTTGAGCAGGGAACTTTCCAGACCTCCCGACCCCCTTTCCAGCCTCCCCGCTGCCTCCAGGACTCACCTAGGCCCAGGAGGGCGGTGGGGTGGGGAGACATGGCCCCGGTCCCAGCAGTCCGGCCTGGCCTGGGACGCACCAGTACAAGGACAGAAGTCTGCAGCAGACACAAGCTGACAGGATGTGCTGGCCAGGGGCCTCCTGCCTGTGGGGTTTCCACAGCAGCTGCCTCCCACAAGAGGAAGAGCTCTCTGTCCTGTTCTTCCCCCCTTCCCACTAGTGAGACAAGAGGGAGGACGCTGGTTTCTGAAAAATGTCACTTACCCTAAATGTGGCTTAGGATCAGATGACCCTAAACTAGTTACTCGATGTGTCAACCTCTTTCTAAATCTATGGGACAAGGCAGAATAAAGGTCAGGCAACCAACTGACTTGGACGCCATCCCAACTCCACAAGTCAACGGTCGCAGCTCTTGGGCAAGACGTGACACAACTAGAAGCTGACATTTCCTCGTATTAGAAATGGGAGCCATAGAAATCCTTCCCCAAATTTTTCATACTGTGATCTTTGCTAAAATCCCAACAAGGTATTTAACATGTTAAAAAATATCCTACGACGCATACTATTTTTTTCAGGAGACAGTGTTGGTGAGGATGTGGAGAAACTGGATCCCTCGCGTACTTCAGTGGGAATTAAAAATTGGGCAATTACTATAGAGAACAGTGGGGAGGTTCCTCAAAAAATTAAAAATAGAGCTACCATATGGCCCAGGAATCCCACTTCTGGGTCTATATTTAAAATAAACAAAACAAAACAAAAAAAAATAAATAAAAATTAAAAAATAAAATAAAATAAAATAAAATAAATAGGCCAGGCATGATGGCTCACGGCTGTCATCCCAGCACTTTGGGAGGCCGAGGCAGGTGGATCACCTGAGGCCAGGAGTTCAAGACTAGCCTGGCCAACATAGTGAAACCCTGTCTCTACTAAAAATACAAAAAAATTAGTTGGGTGTGGTGGTGGCAGGTGCCTGTAATCCCAGCTACTTGGGAGGCTGAGGCAGGAGAATGGCGCTTGAACCCAGAAGGCGGGGGTTGCAGTGAGCTGAGATTGCACCATTGCACTCCAGCCTGGGCAAGAAGAGCAAGACTCTGTCTCCAAAAAAAAAAAAAAAATCAGTATGTAAAGAGCCATCTGAACTCCCCTGATCACTGCAGCACTATGCACTATAGCTAAGACGTGAAAATCATCTAAATGTCCATGACAGATGAATGGATATGGAAAATGTGGTACACACACAGGGGAATACTATGCAGCCTTAAACAAGGAAGAAAATTCTGCCATGGGTGACAACACAGACAAACCCTGAGGACATCACGCCAAGTGATGCAGATGCAGAGACCAAGTACTGCATGATGTCACAGGAGGTCTGCAAAGTCACCAGAGTCACAACATCACAGCAGGGAATGGTGGTTATGGGGGCTAGGAGGAAGAGAAAATGGGGAGTTATTAGCAAACAGGCCCTATCTGCTGTCCAACATACGACCTATAAATCATCAATAATAATGTCTTGTTCACTTGAAATTTGTTAACTCATGTCATTTGGAGGGCCCAGAGGAAGACAGGAAGAGAAGGGAATGTTTGAAACTTCTTGGAGACTGATTACACGGTTGTGACCAAGATGCTGATAGTGATGTGAGCAGCGAAGTCCAGACTGACAAGGTCTCAGCTGGAAATGAGGATCTTACTGGGAACTAGAGCAATGGCCGCCCTTGTTACGCCTTAGCAAACAACACTGCTGCATTGCGTCCATGCCCTCGAGATACCACGCCAGGGTATCTGGGGAAGAAATTTCTTTTTTCTTTTTTCTTTTTTTTAACAGAGTCTCGCTCTGTCGCCCAGGCTGGAGTGCAGTGGCATGATCTTGGCTCACTGCAACCTCCGCCTCCCAGGTTCACGCCATTCTCCTGCCTCAGCCTCCCGAGTAGCTGGGACTACAGGCGCCCGACACCATGCCCGGCTAATTTTTTGTATTTTTATTAGAGACAGGATTTCATCGTGTTAGCCAGGATGGTCTCGATCTCTTGACCTCGTGATCCACCCGCCTCGGCCTCCCAAAGTGCTGGGATTACAGGCGTGAGCCACCGCGCCGGGCCGACTAATTCATTTTTTTAAACACACATCTTACCTGGGAATAAATTTAAATTTGCAGAAGAGTTGCAGAGATACAGAGAGTTCCCAGATGCCCTTCATCCAGCTCCCTCTAATGTTCATGCTTTACACGACCCCAGCACATCTGCCAGAAAGAAAAAAATTAACACTGATACAGTAATTACATGACAGGCTTTATTTAGATTTCATCCCTTTCTACTAATGTTCTTTGCCTGTGTTGGGATCCAATGCAGGGGCACCATCCTGCCTTTACTTCCCTCTCTGTTAACTGCAGAGAAGGGTTTCTGTTTTCCTAGTTGGGCCTTGATTAATATTCCCCTAGTATCTGAATACCAGGTGCCCAGGAAGGATGGGGGGCAAGGGTGTGGTGCCCACTAGGGAAGGAGTGGCTGGCAGAATGGACATCTGTTGGTTCCTCCACAATCTAAGGTCACAGAAAACATGGGCAGTTATTCTGGATTTTTCCGTAAGAGGGGTGATACAGAGCTGTCGTTGTTCCATATTCTCAGAGGGCCCCTCCACCTTTGCATTCCTCTAAGACTTTTCCTCCAAGCTGGAGAAGGCAAGCTATATGCTTATGTCCAAGGCATGCCACAGACTCAGCACGGCACAGCGTCCTCACTCAAAAACATTACTTGGTGTGGGATGCACAGGCATGGAGTAATGATTCTCACACTAGACTCATATACACACACAATATTAGCAACTTAAATTAAACACCAATTAAATGTCAAGTGGAAAGACGACATCTGCATAAACAAAATGATGTAAGATACAACGTGAAATGTCATTCAAAGAAGAGTTTGCATTAGAATAGTTCAAATATTTCAAAACTGTTCCAGCACGGTCACTGCGTTGCTGACCAGTCTTCCTCCTGACATGTGGTTGCCATAATGATCTCAAGCTTGGACCTCCTGGACAGACAGGGGAACTCAAGCTAAACCCTGGTCCTCACAGAGTTCGGCACATTGCAATCCCGTGTCTTCCCTTCCAATCGAATCCAATCTCAAGGTCCCCAGTTCCTGAGCAGCCCTGGCTTGGCTCAGCCAAAGGGAAGTGTCTAGAGAATCTGAGTCTAGACTGCCCGGAGGTCTGCACTTCTTGCCGTTTTCAGGAGATTCAACTGCAAAGCCCTCCCCAGGTCATCCACATTGGCTCACGTGTCTGTGCCCCACCCTTCCTGCCTGAGAGAAGCCTCTTGTTCAGCCGAAAACGCAACCTGAGGATGAGGTGGTAGCAGGGACTCACCCATGTCTCTCGCCATCTTCGGGCCCGGATGGAGCCCTGGAAGGAAGACCTCAAGACGATGGTCATCTCCACAGGATTCCCACCCTGCCCCTGGCTTTGTCCTGAATATTAGCCTTGGCAGCCTGGCCTGGGTTCCGATGGTGGATGAACCTGGCTTTCCACGGGCTCCCACCTCCAGCCTGCGCTGTGGAGAGACCAGGTCCTCGGAACCGTATTTTAACCTTGTCCTCCCTTCCCTGCTCGGTGAGAAAAAAACAGGTACACAGAATCAACCCGTGACGTACGTGCCGTTTCCTGTGAATATACGGCAGCACCAACGGTTTACGTCGTTTACGAATTGGTAAAAGCAAATTGCCTCCTTTGAATGGAGATGGAGTGGAACTTGAGATACGGTTCCTAGCAGGCACTAACTAGGGAGTCAAGCCTTGCCTTCATTATTCCTTGGCTCTCATGCAAGAAAAAAAAAAAGTAAAATTCGTGAATTTGTGTTGCTTCCTCAGCCCCATGCCTGGGTAAAAATCGGAGACGTGTACAGGGACAGGGAGAAGCTGTTATTTCCGTTGCCGTGTTGGACCTCTGCTTAAAGACTTTGGCTACAATGCTACACCTGGGAGACCACATCCTGTCGGCATTTTTCAGTTGTGCTCAGTTCCCTGACTCTGGATTAGCAGAACGCATTTGCACATCTCCTACGAACACCCGCTATTGTCTTGTAAAACCCCGGAA